AGACTCAGTTTTCATGGATCCTGGGTTAATGCTGCTGTAAATGGGAAGTTCTCTTGCAGAAGTAAAAAGTGTTTTAACTAAGTGCTAGGCTTTTCGAAAATTGATGTCTTTTATAAAAGAACTGCTGTTGTAGACTTGTATGTGGAATGTCATCTTTTAGGGGAAATGGGATGAAAAGAGCATTTTCTCAGGTACAAAGATGAGCATCTCAAATGCACCACAGATAAAGGCACGTGCCTACGCAAGCCTGATAACTTGAGTTTGATCCCTGGAACCCGTAGTGGAAGGAGAGAGCCAGCTCCCTGAAGTTGAAGTTGTCCCCTGACCACCACATGAGCACCTTGGCACATATGGACCCACAGCCACACAGATTCCACACATACAGTATAAAATCTACTGCAGGAGATCCCCTCCTTGTGAAATCACTGGCTTATCCCTCAGAGTGCACCAGGCAGGGAGAAGCAATACACCCTGTAAGACCTAGAAGACTTGGAGACCTGTGCTGATCTAAAACAGGATCAAGAATTCAAAAAGCCAGACAGTCTGGCTGGAAGTTCAAACACAGCTATTTCGGTTTAGCTTAGTCAACACAGCTGAAAGCATCAGGAAGAAACCGTACTGTTGTCAAGTAATCAATCACCTTCCCTTTGATTCTGTGCCACAGCCCCCAATCCAGTAGACACTTCCGTCCTCGGAAGCTGAAGCCATTCATCTGAATCTGCTCACTTTTCTAGAATTCCCAGTTCCATATTCTCATCAATTCTCTTTCCTCTCTCCCCGCTCCCGTCTCTGCTACCCCCGCTCATCTCCCTTATTCTCTCTCTCTCTCTCTCTCTCTCTCTCTCTCTCTCTCTCTCTTTCCCCCTTGCTCCCCCCCACTCTCTCACTCTCTTCTTCCTTCTCTTCCTCTCCCTCCTCCTCTTTCTCCCTCTCCTCAGGGTCTCACTATGTATTCCAGGCCTGGAGCTCATTATGTAGCCAAGGATGAACTGGAACTCATAATCCTGTCTCAGCCTTTGAAGTACTAGAATCACAGCCTATACCGCCAAGCCCAGCACATAGTTGTCTCAATAGACACTAATTTCACTTCAAATCTCCATGAAGCCACTTTAGTGTAGTATTGGTTACCACCAGACTCACTAGACTGGGAGTAGCTAGTGGCCTCAAGATCAAATGTACTTGTTCTCTACCTTGATCCCAGTAAAAAGCTTTGTTGTAGATTTCTCTAAGTAGACTATTTTTCTTTAGTTTTCTACATAAAAATTTTGAAGTACACAATTTGGGTATACCATGGAATATTTACAAGCAATCATACCATAGCCACTTGGTTCCACAATGACCACTGAGCACTTGGAATGAGGTTGGTCCAGTTGGGAGATGGAATAAATTAGTTAGCTTACTTCCAGGTCTGTTGACTACTCAAGTGTCCCATGAGCACTCATTTCACTCCCAAGAGCACTATTAAAAATCACCAAGTCAACAACTGCAATTTTATAGTCCTTTAACCTTCAAAAAACTGAAAGCAACACATCCCGATGGGTCAGGTCACAGCTCAGCTTTTCTGCTTCTGCCCAGAGATGGAATAAATTAGTTAGCTTACTTCCAGGTCTGTTGACTACTCAAGTGTCCCATGAGCACTCATTTCACTCCCAAGAGCACTATTAAAAATCACCAAGTCAACAACTGCAATTTTATAGTCCTTTAACCTTCAAAAAACTGAAAGCAACACATCCCGATGGGTCAGGTCACAGCTCAGCTTTTCTGCTTCTGCCCAGATTTAAAATACTCAGGAAGGCTCTGTCTACACATGTGGAAAGGCTTGGTGGGTCCCAGCACTGGTCCTCGACCCTGTTACCCTCACCCCAGCCTTTAGGCCTCACAATGGCTTCTGGGAGCCTGAGGTACATGACTATGGACAACTTACTAGTTAATGAAACAAAGCCTCTTCGGAAAGGATATGTAGACATTTGGAAAGATGGGCAGATAAGTAAGCACTTGTAAGATTTTTAAAAATTATTCTACCTGGAGCATTGTTGGGATAAAGGTTCCAATACAGACCTGAGAGAGTGGCTTCCTCTTGGCACAGTTTATGCCCCCAACAAAAACCATGTTGGGCATGATGGGCCTGGGGTAGTCAAACACGAAGTCTCCTCGGAACAGCCACACGGACGCATGGCTGAACACCTCCACCAAGGACACCTCTCTCTGCAAGACCTCAGAGGCCAGGCTGGCATAGGGAGAAAAAGTTAAGTCACAAAAGTACTTGTAGGCTAGAGGGTAGAGAATGTTCTTGACCCTTTGCAGGAAGCTCATGTGGTCAGAATGAATTGTCAGTAACCTTGGAATATAGGAGGAAGGGTTTGGACACTGTGTGGCCTCGAAGTCTACGTCACAGGGAATGGCACGCAGAAAAAACACAGTAGGAACTTGTAGGTACTTGGCGAGCACTGCCCCACAGGGAAAAATAGGGTCTGTTAAGACCAAGTTGTAGGAACTGGAATTCAGCTGTTGGATCAGGGTCTTGTTGTGCAGTATAAGCGAGCATGAACTCTCAAAGGTTTCTGATGCCTTTTTAAAAATTGCTGTAATCTCAACAATCATCTTCACAGGATGATGTGATTCAAAGCCCAGTCTGGAGGTCCTCAGAATTTGCTGATAATACTCCTCCTGGGTGTATGGGACATCATAGGTTTTCAAGGTAAAGAAGTCCTCTCCTTTGATGTGCATAGTCACCTCTGGAGCCAGGACCGTGATCTGGTGGCCTCGTGCATGGAGCTCCCTGGTGACTCCTCGCATGCTCAGCCAGTGGCTGCCCTCCATGGGAAC